TTCTGTTTTCTTTCTTTATGTTTTTCCTGTGCTTTTTTCCTATTTGTGTAATTTTTATTGGCCTATCTGTATGTTTCCTGCAAATTCTTTAGTTTTGTCAAGTCTACTGATAAGTCTATCAAAGGCTTTATCTCTGTTATTCTAACTTTTATTTCTAGCATTTTCATTTGACCCTTTCTCTCTGATTAAATCCCCGTTTGTGAGTACATGTTGTCCACCTTTTCCATTGAATCCTTTAGTGGAAACTATTAATCATAGTTATTTTCTTTAAATTAAGTTGTATTTATTTGTTACTCATTGGTAAAGCACATGATATAAATTCAAAGAACATAACAGTGAAAAAACAAGTCTCCTTCATGTTCCTGTCCTCAGTCCCCTTCCCAGTCTCTTATGTGCCCTTCAAACATATGCCATGCTTATTAGATAAGCAAATACATTCATATGCATATATATATATAAATTTATTCTACCCCATCTTGCTTTTTTTTTTTTAGCGACATGGTCTTGCTCTGTCACCCAGGCTGGTCTGCAACTCCTGGGCCCAAGTGATCCTCCCACCTCAGTCTCCCAAGTAGCTGGGACTACGGGCACATACCACTGCTCCTACCTTGCTTTTTAAAAAATTCGATATATTTTGGATATCAACCCTAATCAGTGCACATAGAGCTGACACCTTTTCAGTGGCTGCGAGTATTCCATTGAGTGAAGGTGCCATCAGATACTTATCTAGTTCTCTCTCAATGGGCATCAAGATAATTGCTGTTTTTAGGCTGTTGCTGTGATGAATACAACAGTATATATGTTTTGTTTATATGTGCTAGGATAGCTAGTAGGTGGTTGGCAAACTACAGCCTGTGGGCCACATTTAACCTGCCTTTTTTTGTAAACAAAGTTTTATTGAAATACAGCTATGCCCATTTGTTTGCCTATTGTCTATGGCTGCTTTCATGCCACCATAGCAGAGTTGCGTAGTTGGAACAGTGATACATGGTCTGGAAGCCCAAAATATTTGCTATTTGATCCTTTAAACATAGTTTGCTTGCCTCTGATCTATAGGCTAATTTCTTTTCTTTTTTTTTTTTAAGTTGAATCATAATTACTTTAAAGTCCCTGCCTGAGAGTTCCAACATCTGGATCATCTCAGAGCCTGGCTGTGTTGATTGTTTTGTCTTTTGATAGTGGTTTGGTTTTTCATGTGTGTGCCTCTGTGTGTATGTGTATGTATGTCTTAAATTTTTACTGAATTTTGGTTATTAACAGTAGATACTGAAGTTAGTAATTTGCAATGGCTAGAAATGGACAAGTGGGCACTGTTCTATCACATCATCAAGAGGGGAATTGAGCCAAGTTTGGATTTTCAGTGTACTATGTTGGCTTTTAGTTCTTCTGGTGATGGCCGCCATTTCTTTTCGGGGCTGGGATCTGGAGGGTTTTTCTCAGTGTTAGCGCTCCTTGCTCACCTTCCAGCTGCCGGTGCCATGGGTTGGGGAGGGAGTCTCTCCCTCCTCCTCACCCCTCTCCTAGCAATAGAATGCAGCTACTTTTCACTTAGAGCTGGACTTCTTATTGGAGGTGAGATAAGGGTTGCACTGTTACCCGAGTCCAGCCTTAATTTTAGGCAGTTTCTGTGTTTCCAACCCCTCCCCATGGCTGCAACTCAGATTTTATTGGTGTGGAATTTTGGTGTCGGGACAGTTTCCTGCCTCCCCCAAGTAGAGGGTCTTCTCTTCTATCCTCCCCCAGCTACGGTGTGCTTCCGCTTGTGCCTGTGCTGACTCAGTCCTCTGCCCCTTCCCAGCAGCTTAGAGCTCAAGGCTTTGCTTCGTATGAGAGGAGCTCTTGGGCAGGACTGGCTTCTTGCCTTTTCCCGCATGCTTGCACACTCAGGACCGTATCTCTGGTCCCATGTCCTGCCCCGTGCATGAATAGCTGGTGCATGCCCACGGAATAGAGCCCGGGAGTGCGTGTGGGCTTCGCAGTGTCTACAGCCAAGCTCTTCCAGCCTGTCTTAATCAGAAGGCAGAGGAACACATGTACATAGGTCAACAGGGCATTTTAGATTGTGATTGTCATAAGGACGGAAATGAAGAAGGTCTGGGCAACACAGGGACAACTCCTTTACATAGGTAGGGTGGAGGAACAGCCAGCGGTAACATCGGTGCAATGATTTGAAGGTTGAAAATGGTCCCATCATTTAAAGAGTTGAGAGGAGTGAGGGCGTCTCAAGTGGGAATGATAAGTACAGATCCCCAGGGGCTGGAAGGAAATGGGCCCAGTCGGAGGATCAGAAAGTTTGCCGTGCGTGGCTGATGCAGAGTACGGAGGAAATGATGTAGAGATCCTCAACCCCCAGGCCGTGGACCCATCCGTGGCCTGTTAGGGACTGGGCCACAGAGCTCTGCTGCCACCCACCCCCCATAGAAAAATTGTCTTCCATGAAACTTGAGGGGGAGGCGCAGGAGGTGAGGGGCCAGCGGCACTCAGGCGAGTGAAGCTTCGTCTGCCTTTGGAGCCGCTCTCCATCACTCACGTCACCATCTGAGCTCCGCCTCCCCACCCCACCCCCGGCTGTGGAAAAATTGTCTTCCGTGAAACTGGTCCCTGGTGCCAAAAAGGTTGGGGACCGCTGGTGTAGAGGGATGCTAGGAAGATGGTTGTGAGTCAGCTGACATGCAGCCTTTTGGCCATATTAAGCTACTGGAATTATATTCCATGAGGAACAGGAAGAACTTGGTAATTAATCGAATGTGGCTTCCTGTTGCCTGCTAAGTAAATTCCAGTCTCTTCTGCTTAGCATTCAAGACCCAGAGTGACCTGGTTCTAGAACACCTTTTTGATCATGTCTTCCACCCTACTAATGTATGAAAAACAAGGTTTACTTACTGTTCTTTATGTATTCCTTATGTATTTTCCTGCACACCTTGTTCATGATGTCTCCTTAACTTGAAAGTAATTCCTTCCACCCATCAAGGTAGGCTCAGGTTAGGTGTGCTGCATCCATAAAACCTTTCCCAGTCATTTCCTCACCTCCATCACTAGTTGGTCCCACATCTGTGTGCTTGCTCCCTGGGTATACCTCTTCATCCCATGTCAATTTGTTTGTCATCTCTCTTGTGTCTTCAGCCTCGTTCTCTCTGCTCACTTCCGTTTCCTGTTCATAAGCACTCTCAACCCTTCCTTATCCTAAAGAAACCTTTCCTTAATCTCCCTTTGCCTGACACTGACATCTTGTCTTTCTCTTTTCCTTCACAGCCAAATTTCCGGAAAGTAGCCTGTATTTCCAGGCCCTTGTGCGCCAACATACTCTCCCTCACTCCTTACCTGTGTGTGATTGCACTTGTACCCCTGGAAACCACTGACGCTGCTGTCAGAGATAATGCTGTCCTTCTAATCTCCGTGACCACAAACCCAGTGACCGCTTGCTAATTTCCATCCTGCGTATCTGAACGTGATGTCTAACACTATTGGCTACATCTTCTTCCTAAAAGTCTCTACATCCTCACGTCTTGAACACTTCGCTATCACATGTTATGTCTCATCTCTCTGATTCCCTCCTTGTTTTTATTTCTGGCTCATCCTTAAGTATAAAGGATCACCCAGGCCTCTGGATGTCAGACCTCTTCTCTCTTCACACCATATTCTCCTCTGCATACCAATTATGTACTTTTATAAAAACAGCTCCCACTGTGTATTCCCAGATCTGTTCCTCTAGCCCAGACCTCTCTCGGGGGGTGGGGGGCGGGCGGGGGGAGAACGTGCATGTATATTTAATGCATCATAATTTTCATATTGCTGTGTAATCTTCATAATTATTTTAAATGGATCTATAATGTTAAGTGGCTGTGCCATAATTAGCCTAACCATTTTCCTATTGAAAATTTCTTGTCCTGAATTTCCAGCTCCAGTTTACAATTCTATGCATGTGTATTGAGTTTGAGGTTGGTGGAATAGAAAGTGAATGGATTTTTTTCCCTCCCAAGCTAGCTCAGTTCTTCCATGTAAAGATGGGAAAGTTCAGCAGAATGTTGGGCAAACCTTTTGCAGGCTTTCTGGTTTTGAATCAGTCAGGAGGCCCACTATCACTACCTGAGTTCAGGGTAGCATTCTAACTTGCACAAACTACTGAAAGATGCCGTCTAAATGGTTTCCTTGTCTCTGATCTCTTGACTCTCAGAACCAACACACTCTCAGTTGTCAGAAAATACATAGTTCTTGTGTCCTTAAGGCTCAGAAGATCTAAAGTTTTTCACACTGATATATCTCTGAATACATCTGAAAAAGAGATTTACTCAGAGATTCACCTTCAATCAAGACAGGATTTTAAACTCACTATGAGGTTGTAGTTTACTGTACCTACTACCTACCTTAAGAATCTTCTTTGCCACACCTAGCCAGCAACACAGATGCTCTCTTGAGCCAGGAAACTTGTTTTTAATCTGTTATTCTCCGGAAGTAATCCTGAAAACCAGCTAATAGTGTTAGTTTAAACTCTTTGGTGCTCTTCTCTAAAGAAACATAGGAGCCCAATGATTAGGTTTATTCCTTGGAAAATAAAATACCAGTGCCTTTTGCACATAGAACCTAGGAACCTTAGCTCATACTTCTCTAGCCACTCAACTTTTTCCCATTAAGTGGCCTTTGTGCTCTTTCTGAGCTATTCTTGACTGCCTAACTGATGGAGAACTGGACCACTCTGGCTGTTTTTATGAAGCCCAACAAGTCGATGATTCTGACAGTGGCAACACTGCCATTTTCGGTCCCTTTCTTAATTGTCATTTGTATCTGTTAAATGAGCTCATATTTGGATTTTTGATTTGTCGTTGTTTCAGTTTCTGCCTGATTTTCAGCCGTTAACCAGTAGCACACTGATGAGTTGGGGAATATAATTTTCAGCAGTTGGCCGACTCCGTTTTTGAATCTTTTTTCTCTTTTCCCAGTCTGACTATATGTTCTCCGTGTCAGGAGAGAGGGTTATGTTTCAACCCTGGTACGCACCGAGCATGTCCAGCCTTAGTAGTAGTAAAAACCCAGCACTTCTGAGTTGTAGGGTGGTAAATATTAAGCAGCGTCTTTACTCTGAGGCAGAGGGTAGGCCTGTGCCCTGTTTGGTCGGGGAGTGAGCATGTTAAATCACACTGTCCTTGGACTGTCTTCTACTATGTGTCTTTCTCTAATGTATTTTTATTGTAGTCCACCATAACAACAAATTGCCTTTAAAATTATGGAAAAGCACAGGTGCTGATGGTAAACAGCTGTTCCCCTCCCTCCCTTCATGCCAGTTGTATTTCTGCTTTGAGGCATTGTGGTCTATACATCCTCTTAACTCTGTGGCTGTGGTAACTGTTACACATGCCAGATATTATAGCTATAACCACAATTTGATGAGTGCACTCTTTTCTGTAGATAAGAAGGCAAGAGAAATAACTCCAGTCACTCTCTAATAGATAGATTTGAAATGAATCAAGATTAAGGTAAGTTTAAAAAACTACCCCCGGGTATATCATTCTCTGAAAGCTCAGTGGTCTGCCACCTTCTGCTCTAGGGCACTGGTTCCCAGGAGAAGGTGTCTCTCTATAATTCCCAGCCACGCTGCTTAGCCAGACACTCTGAGCATTTCAGCCCCACATCTTGAGAATCAAGGACAGTGAAAATCTGTAGGGAGGTGTGAAGCTTGCTTCACTTCCGTCTCTACAATGATAGCGCAGTATTTATTTCACATATGCCTGGGACCCTCCCTCTACTCCTCTCATCCCCTCCACCAACCTCTCTCCTCCTAAAAACCACAAAAAAAGTCCTTGAGGTTAGAGACTGTTCCAAAATGCAGGGTCATCCCACTACCTCCTCTCCTCCCAGGCACCCATAATGGCGTGGGCTTTATGCTTTGAACAGGAGAATGAACCCTGTTAAAGAAAGGAGATCCAACAAAACCTGGAAGAGTGAACACAGCTCAGACAAAGACCGCGAGGAGCATGTCTCACTGGAGCGCCATGCCACCCCTCGCCACTGCCTGTGGTCTCAGATGATAGAAGAGCCTTGAGAACATGAACGACTGAACACTAAGCATTGAAGGAAATACTGCCTCAGAAACAGAAGTATTTTTAAGTGCAAAACCTAATAAGATCATGTATTTATTGAAGCAAGAGCTCAAACTTAATATGAGACAACAAAATGAGATGAAATGAGAAATATGGAACTGAGGGAATAAAATCAGAGCAAAGCAACATCAGTCTAAAACCAGTAAACTTGAAACAGTAAGGAATGTAATGGCTTGAAAATTGAATTATTGACATAAGGGGAAAAGCTTTAAATAATTTTAGAGAAAACAAAAGGTAAAAACCCAAAGAGATGAAAGCAATTCAAATCATAAGGGTAATGCAGGAAAAATATAATTGATGTCCCTAAAGAAAAGAACCTTATCCCAAAGAAAAAAAATAACCAGAAAATGTATTTGAAGATACCATAGAAGAAAAGTGTTCTGAAATAAACCACTTTGCCAGAAAGTGAAGGAATATGCAAAGTTTTGAAGGGAAAAATTGGGGTACTAGCACTAGTCAAGTGTTAAGATTCAAATAGAGAACTAAGAGTTAACAATAATGTAGCTAGAAGGTAAATATTATAAACTCTGACAAACGAGACGAATCTGTCTGTATCTAAAATTGAAACATGTACTTCAAGAAATCTGTTTAAAATGTCTGTTTTTCCAGTTCTTGACTCCCAGTGGATTTTTTAGGAAATAGTTTCTCTTATGAAGAAATACGGATCTTAAGTTTAGCAATTCCTTTATCTTCATCTCAGCTTCTTTTTAAAGTACAAAGTTAAATTTTATTCTTTTTGTTTAAAACATGTATAATATTTCTGGATGTTCTTCCTGTGGGTTGAATTTTTGCATTTTCCATTGGAGTACATTGTTTAACTTTAAAAAAGAGATAACTTTATCTAAAAATAAAAGTTTATTCTAAACCATGTATAAAACAGAACAAAACCTCAGCCAGGACTCTGGCTGAATAGGTACTAGGTGGAACCTGGAAGAGGCAGACTTTTTTTAGTCTCTGATGTTTCAGCTCTGCCAGCTTCTCCTCCAGGTGGTTTTTCATCTCTGTTTTTATATTCATTTTAATAACCCAGTGGCTTTCATTTTTATGACCGCCACCGCCCAGCTTTTGGAAGTGTGTGGGGAAATACTCATCCCAGATAACAGTCATTTTTCACACTTGCCTGGTAGAGTTAATGAGAGGCAAAAAGTATATTATTGACTTTATTACATTCATCTTGAGGAGGGAAAATATCATTTTTTAAGTGAGTAGATTGAAGAATAAAAAAGACTTGCTCAACATCATTTCATAAAAGTTAATAATATCGAAACTTTTTTCTATTATACTTTAGGTCTGTATTTTAGTTAGGAGACCTCCCTCTTTGTTTTTCTGATTATGGAGGATAAATGTATCTTTAGTGGAATAGTAATGTATCTTTTTCACTACACTATTACGTAAGAGCACATAAGCTGATGTCACAGGAGGACCTAGAATATTTTTTATTTTATGTAAATTTTTGTTCTCAATAAGACATTATCACAGTGTAGACCTTTTGGTCTAATGTGAATTTCAAATAGATACATTGCAACAGCTATTTGAAAATAATGAGGAATTAAAGTATTTGGCTTTTCTACAAATAAAGTAATACAAAGTTGAATAATTTTTGTTTATATGCCCAAGGATCCAACAAATGAAAACAAAACTAAATTATGGCAAGTAATTATTGCTCAAAAATGTAATAGTTGACAGAGATTGTGGATGGTTGATGCCACTTAAATACTGATTTATTTCCAACATAGCTAGAAATGAAGGCGATTTCTTCTCTCCCGTAGTAAATTTTACCTTTCTCTCTATCTGCCTGCCTACCTACCTAGCCTACCTATCATTAATGACAAAGAAACATAGTCATTGAATATTTTTTCAGTTAAAATGGTGATTTTTTTCCTAAACCAGGGGCCATTAAAACATGACTTTTTAATTTTATTGGTGAGAAACCACAAATAAGTAGATTATTTTACTTTCTTAATTTTCTGTTCATTGATATAATTGCTGTATTAATAATACTCCATGGCTCTACCAACTAATATTTCATGAATGTCTGAGGTATGTCTGCTCTAAAACTTATTATTAGCAGCTCTTTTTCTCATGAGAATATCAGTTTTGTTTATTTAGAAACTTGCTGAAAAGTTTGCTTTAAAAGATCCTTAATGTACCAAGATAGTCAAATACTCAGCATGAAGGGGTTGAATTTGCTTCTTTCTTGGCCAGCCTTCTCAGACTGTGTAGACAGAGTCCTTGAGTATGAGAGTAAAAGGGAGAGGATAATTCAGTTTGGGAAGATCTAATTCCAGGACCTCAGTTCCTGAAGAAAGGACCATAGCATTCTAGAAATGCACAGTAAGGTCTTGCGTGTTTCAACAGATTCTGATTGGTAACATTTTTCAAATTGCCAGAATGTTAGAATATAGTTTTATTAAAAATAGGCTTTCCTTAAACTACCTTCTTCAATTGTCATAACATCCTTAGTACTGTGATCTTCATTTTTTAAAAATTATGGTTGGTATATGTATAGTTTTACCAAATGGTTTCCTTTTTTTTTTTTTAACAGAAATCTTAGAGGCTGGTGTTAAAGGAACTTCAGAATCCCTTAAAGGTGTGAAACGAAAAAAGATTGTAGCTGAGAATCACCTAAAAAAAATACCAAAATCCCCACTGAGAAATCCTCTTCAGGCAAAACATAAACAAAATCCAGAAGAATCATCTTTTGCTGTTCTTCAGAGTGCATCAGAATCTCACAGGAAACAGAATTATATTCCCATAAAAAATGGGAAGCAGTTTACCAAACAAAATGGAGAAGCACCTGGGATAATTGCTGAAGCCTCAAAATCCGAAGACTCTGTTTCTCCAAAGAAGCCCTCATTTCTGCAGCACCCATCTGACCTGCGCAGGTGGAGATCAGAAGGCGCTGACCCCGCCAAAATCAGCGTCCTCGATGGAAAATGTGACTCGAGTTCTTTGTCAAGTAAAACCAGGACTGACAATAGTGAATGTATCTCTCCTCATTGTAGTACTACATCCCCCTCCTATACAAATACCGCATTTGATGTCTTACTGAAAGCAATGGAGCCAGAACTGAGTACCTTGTCACAAAAGGGCTCATCTTGTGCAATTAAGGTAGAAAAACCGAGACCAAATAGAACTGTACGATCCCCTTCAAAATTAAAAAACAGTTCAGCGGATGCCCCGAATCAGATTTCGCAGGAATTTGTTGCTGAATCGCAGTCTTCTCCTTGCACCTCCTACACAGTGCATGTGTCCGCTACTCAGAGGAATGAGCACGGGGCAGCGCAGTCAGTTTCTCATTCGTATAATCAACACGAACACTTTGTTTCCACACCCAACCAACATAATCAGCAGCTTCCAGGGGGTTCAGGTTTCACAGGATCACTGACGAATCTGCAAAATCAAGAGAGCGCCAAACTTGAACAAGTCTATAATATAGCGGTGACGTCATCCCTAGGTCTGATTTCACCTTCCAATAGAACTCAGGTTACTCCTCAAAACCAGCAAATGGATTCTGCTTCATCTTTGTCAGTAAGTCCAGCCAATTCTACACAGTCGCCCCCCACGCCAATTTATAACTCAACTCATGTTGCCTCTGTTGTTAATCAAAGCATGGAACAAATGTGCAATCTTCTTCTGAAAGATCAGAAGCCAAAAAAACAAGGAAAATATATTTGTGAGTATTGCAATAGAGCGTGTGCAAAGCCCAGCGTGCTTTTAAAGCATATCCGTTCCCACACTGGAGAGCGACCCTACCCCTGTGTGACTTGCGGATTTTCATTCAAGACTAAAAGTAATCTTTATAAGCACAAAAAATCCCACGCACATACTATCAAACTGGGTCTCGTCTTGCAGCCAGATGCTGGTGGCTTGTTCTTGTCCCATGAGTCCCCCAAAGCACTTAGCATCCACTCAGATGCAGAAGACAGTGGGGAGAGCGAGGAGGAGGGTGCCACTGATGAGAGACAGAACGACCCGGGTGCCATGGAGCTGCAGCCCGTGCACATAATGAAGGGGATGTCAAGTGCTGAAACTTTACCAAAATCTAGTCCCATTCCAAGCAATCCAGATCATGTAGTAGGTGACTTTTCGCTACAGGACAAATCTTCAGAATCCCAGGCTGTGACAGAGTTACCTAAAGTGGTGGTCCATCCTGTCACCCTGTCTCCGTTAAGAACTAACAGTCCAAAGGTTGTAGATTCCAAGCCTGAACTTCCGAGTGCACAAAAACAGAAAGACCTTCAGGTAACAAATGTACTGTCACTTTCAGCCAGTGTGTCCCCGCTGGAGACTGAAGAGAAGTCTCATCAGAAGGCGGACACAAGCCAGCTGGACGGAAAGCAAGAGTCTCACATGGGAACAGCGCACGCCCAACTGCAAAGACAGCAGGCTACCGATTACTCCCAAGAACAGCAAGGAAAACTCCTCCTGAGTCCTCGAAGCTTAGGAAGTACAGATTCTGGTTACTTTTCACGTTCTGAAAGTGCCGATCAAACAGTGAGTCCACCAACTCCCTTTGCCAGAACATTACCCTCCACGGAGCAAGACTCCATAAAGAATAATGGGCCCTCTGCGCCGCGTAGCAACACGGCAGCACCGTCTGCTTCTCCGACAGGGGAAAAGGCATTGCTCTTACCAGGTCAGATGCGCCCACCCTTGGCCACGAAAACACTTGAGGAACGGATATCGAAGCTCATCTCAGACAACGAAGCCTTGGTAGATGACAAGCAATTGGACAGTGTAAAGCCACGGAGAACCTCTCTCTCAAGACGCGGAAGTATCGATTCCCCCAAGTCATACATATTTAAAGATTCTTTCCAGTTTGATTTAAAACCAGTGGGACGGAGAACAAGTTCAAGCTCTGATATACCAAAGTCCCCCTTCACCCCTACTGAGAAATCAAAACAAGTGTTTCTTCTGTCCGTACCTTCCCTTGACTGTTTACCTATTACAAGAAGTAATTCCATGCCTACCACAGGTTATTCAGCAATTCCTACAAATATAATACCTCCCCCTCATCCACTGAGAGGAAGCCAGTCGTTTGATGACAAAATTGGAGCTTTATATGATGATGTCTTTGTATCAGGACCTAACACTCCTGTGCCCCAAAGTGGGCATCCCCGTACGCTTGTCAGACAAGCAGCAATAGAAGACTCTTCAACAAATGAGAATCACGTTCTCGGGACCGGGCAGTCCTTGGACGAAGGCTACCAAGGATGCCATGCCGCTGGCGAGAGCGCATCAGCCAGGAGCAAGGCATTGGCACAGGGCTCACATTTAGAAAAAAAGAAGTCTCATCAAGGGCGAGGGACAATGTTTGAGTGTGAAACTTGTAGAAACAGGTACAGGAAACTGGAAAATTTCGAAAACCATAAGAAATTTTACTGCTCAGAGTTACACGGACCAAAGACAAAGGTAGCCATGAGAGAACCTGAACACAGCCCCACGCCTAGCGGTGCCCAGCCTCAGATTCTGCACTACAGAGTCGCTGGTTCCACAGGTGTGTGGGAACAGACGCCCCAGATAAGAAAGAGGAGGAAAATGAAAAGCGTTGGAGATGATGATGAACTTCAGCAGAATGACAGCGGAACATCTCCCAAAAGCTCTGAAGGTCTTCAGTTTCACACTGCCCTGGGCTCTACTCCCGGTTTGTCTAAACATAATGTTGCCATAGCAAGTGACCACCAGCATAGAAATCTGCAGCTGCAAACCTCCCAGATACAGCTTGTTGCCAGGGGCCCCAACCAGACCGTGGATCCAAAGGTGTCTACCGGCACAGAGCAGCAGATAAGTTCAGCTGCCCTGGACAAAGCAGAGCTAAAGAGACACGGGACTGGGATCTCGGTCATCCAGCACACAAACTCCCTGAGCAGACCCAATTCATTCGACAAGCTCGAGCCTTTTGAAAGAGGCTCTCCCATTTCTTTCCAGGAGCTGAGTAGAACAGGCAAGCCCGAGTCGCTGAAAGTAATAGGAATGTCCCAAGAAGAAAGTCACCCTTCTCGCAACGCATCTCATCCTCACCAGCAGGCACCGTCAGACGCCCTCAGAGGAGAACTTCAGGAAAGCGCAAGAAAGATTTCAAGTGACAGGCATGTGTTAGGACAGCCCTCAAGGCTTGTCCGGCAGCACAACATCCAAGTCCCTGAGATTTTGGTCACAGAAGAACCAGATCGGGACCTGGAAGGCCAGGGCCATGATCAGGAAAGATCAGAGAAGTTCAGTTGGCCTCAGCGTAGTGAAACCTTGTCAAAATTGCCAACGGAGAAACTCCCTCCCAAAAAGAAGAGACTCCGTCTGGCCGAGATAGAGCATTCCTCCACCGAATCCAGCTTTGATTCCACTCTGTCCAGGAGTCTCAGCAGGGATAGCAGCTTATCACACACTTCAAGTTTCTCAGCCTCGCTAGACGTAGAGGACAGTTCTAAAACTGAGGCTTCCCTCAAAATTGATTTTCTAAATAAAGCTGAGTTCCTTGTGATTCCAGCTGGCTCAAATACACTGAATGTTCCTGGAAGTCACCGGGAAATGAGGCGTGCTGCATCAGAACAGATTAATTGCACACAAACCTCAATGGAGGTGTCTGATCTCAGGAGTAAATCATTCGACTGTGGAAGCATAACCCCACCCCAGACGACAGCACTTCTTGAATTGCAGCCTCCGACTTCCCCCTCTGGCATGGGAGTCGCTGGGCACGTGCCTCTCTTAGAAAGAAGGAGAGGCCCCCTGATACGGCAGATATCTTTAAACATAGCTGCAGACAGTCATCTGTCTCCTGTAAACCCAGCATCTTTCCAAAATATTGCTCTTCCCAGTGTGAGTGCAGTGCCGTTTCAGGGGCCCCGGCTCACTAATACATGTTTAGCTGAGTTTCCTGCAAATACTTTGCACTCCCAGACTCAAGTTAAGGATCTACGGGCAGAAACGTCAAACTCCAGCTCCACTAACCTCTTTCCTGTTAAGCAGCTTTGTGGTATCAATTTGTTAAATCACATCCATGTACCCCTTAGCCACCAGAACACGCAGCTGTCTCTGCAAGTGTCTACACAGGGTGACAAATCAGGTACAAGTTCTGCTTTATGTGTGTCTTCGAAAAGTGAGGATTGCTTTGCTCCCAAGTATCAACTGCAGTGTCAGGTTTTCACCTCAAGCCAGTCTTGCTCTCCTAAACCTGTACATTCTTTGCCAAATCAAGTTCCTTCAGATCCAGTTGCAGCAGATCGTTGCACGACATCAGCAGCATTACCAACCAAGCTAATAGATACCATGTCTGCTTCACGTCCTCTGCCCCCGCTGGAGCTCGGGTCCCTTGGTGTTCCGGCGCACAAAGTGCCGTCATCATTTATGCTGCCCGTGTGCCTGCAGAGGAATGTGCCTGCTTACTGTTTCACCTCATGTACATCCCTGCCACAAATCCTCGTGACCCAGGATCTATCCAATCAGCCGATTTGCCAGGCTAATCGTAGTATAGTGCCAATCAGTGAAGAACAAAATCCTGTGCCAGAATCACAAAAAGATCACCAAAATGCTTTGCCAAACCTAGAGAAAGAACCTGTTTGTGAAAATGTCCTTTCAGAGATGGGCCAAAATTCTCTGTCAGAATCCTTGCCCGTAACTCAGAAAGTGTCTATTGGTAGACTTTCCCCCCAACAAGAATCTTCAGCTTCGAGTAAAAGGATGCTTTCTCCAGCAAATAGCTTAGACATTGCCATGGAAAAGCACCAAAAGCGGGCCAAAGATGAAAATGGAGCTGTTTGTGCAACAGATAGTAGACCAGTGGAGCCATTGAGTTCAAGAGCTAATGAAGCTAATAAGCAGAAGAAACCTGTTTTAGTGAGGCAGGTTTGTACTACAGAGCCCCTGGAAGGTGTGGTATTGGAACAGGATATTTTTTCTCAACCTGAAATTAGTAGTGAGTCTGTTAATCTGACAGATGTTTTACCAGCAGATAATTCATCATCAGGACACTCCAAGTTTGTAATGGTGGAACCTATAAATGAATTGCAAGAATTTGAAAACATCGAGTCGTCCACCTCATTAACTCTTACAGTTCGAAATTCACCTGCCCCTTCAGAAAATACTCACATTTCTCCTCTGAAATGTATAGACAATAACCAAGAAGGGGGTAAGTCTCCAGGAGTTAAGAATCAGGGTGACAAAGTGAACATCCAAGAACAAAGTCAGCCACCAACCACTACCGTTTCATTGTTCAGTGTCAGGGACACACAGCAGGTGGCTTTCCCCAGCCTGAAGACTGCGACCAGCTTTACGTGGTGTTATCTCTTAAGACAGAAGTCATTGCATTTGCCTCAGAAGGACCAGAAAACTTCGGCCTATACTGATTGGACAGTAAGCTCCAGTAATCCAAATCCCCTTGGTTTGCCCACAAAAGTTGCTCTTTCTCTCCTGAATTCAAAGCAGAATACTAGAAAATCACTATACTGTCAAGCAATAACTACCCATTCCAAATCAGATTTATTGGTCTACTCAAGCAAATGGAAAAGCAACTTAAGCAAGGTACTTGAAATATATTTTATCTTCAAATATGATGTGTGCGAATTAGTTTTAGCATGTGTCAATATTTTTAAACATGTTAATTGAATTTTGAATGACAAATTGCCCTTTGTGTATGTGGATATTTGAAAGAAAGGTTGGTCTGTTTACCCTAGGAGTTAACCCGGGTCAGGGTTACCTGGAGTCCTTTCAGTGATTCTATCTGGAAACATTTTGGAAATGATAACTTGCCCTGAGCGCTTATTTTTTTCCTTGGCCGACTATATGAAGTCTTTACTTAATGGTGCAGATAATCATGGTTTTACTTTGATCTTTCTCTTGCATTAAGATTTTGTTCTTCTTGTTAAGTGAGAGGAGACATATGCTTTGTCCCTGCTAATGCAGGGAAACAGAGGTATGGATAATCCAAGGCAGTTATATTTCACTCTGGAATATAAGCAAAGAGCCATCCACACTGTCTTGTGCACACTAACTACCCTTCCCCTCACCAGGCCCATCCCAACACTTTTCTAGTGAAGCTCTGAGAATCGTTAGTATTAGCAAGGAGATTCACAAAATAATTAACTCGTACACTTGAGAAGTCGATTTGGTTAGGATTTATAGAGTCATGTAAGGTCATTAAACTATAATTTTGGATAATTTGTGGAATCAGTCTTATTAGGATTGTCGGCTTTATAAAATGGGCAAAATCATTTCAGTGGTTAATAAATAGATAAGGGGGTATCACATTGGATGGTGGGCACTGAGAATTATAGATTAAGTCTCTGGCCTCTGCAGGTTTACAAGCATATATACAGGTTCATAAGCATTGACATACCTATCAGTAAGAAAATATCCCAGAATACATACTTCTACCATAGTAGAAGTATGAAGAATTCTAAAAGAAGGAAGTTTCTAACGTTGCCAATAGGTGGAGGCATGGATACAAGGATTTTACTCCGAAAGTGGTGAGACTTTAGCTGAGTCTTCAAAAAAAAGTAAGGATTTTTCAGGCAAACAAGAATAAAAAATCTTAAGAATTCATTAAATAACATGTAAGTGATAGCAAACTTGGACATTTAAAGAACTCTAAGGAGCCTGGCATGGTTAGAAAGTTTTATAAGTTTGAAACACTAACATACTTTGGAGTTGGAAATGTGGGTATAAAACCCAAAACATATGCATGATAGTGGTGAACCATTGATACTTTCTCAGCAAAGGAGGGTGTATCCAAACTAGTTGTGGAATATATTTTTTTAAATGTTCAGACTCTAAATCTACTAAATTAGAATCTTGGAAGATGAGACCTAAGCATTAGAATTTAAACAGAGCTTCGTGTTTATTCCTGAAGTACCTATGGAAAGTGGCTCTCCAAGCTACCAGGTACCTTGGAGGAAGTGTCTGGAAATGCATATCTAGACTTGGATCTTAGGAGAGAGCTCCAGGTGAAAGATGTAGACATTGTTCAGTACATAGGTATAATTCATGAGATCGCTCAGGGAGAGTATAAACAAGAGGAGAGGGCCTAGAATTGATCTCAGAGATCACTATTCTTTAAAGGATTGAATGAACAGAGGAAGCCCGCACAGGAAACTGAAAGAGATTTTTAATAAAAGGAGGAGGAAAACCAAGAGAAAGTGGTATCACACAGAACGTGGAAGAAGATACTTCAAGGAGATACGTTCAAGTAGAGAGGTTAAAGAAAGAGGAGGGCAAACAGGGTGTCTGGACTGAGCTGCTCTGATCTCACTGGAGACTGGCATCTGTGAGCAGGTGGCCTTGGAGGGTAGGGTGCTGGGTGGACTGTCAGTCCCAACCCAAATGTGAATGCGTTTATGATTCAAAATGGAAAGGAACAGATAGATGCTGTAAAGTAAAAGAATTTCTAAGAAAAATGAGGCATTAGCAGCATATAATACCATAGAGCGAGCATATAAAGGCTAAGATTTGGGCATGCAGCTCATTGATAGCTTTGGCGAACAGAAATCAGATGTGAGAGTAAGAAAGTGAGCAAACCATAAGGGGAATGTGATGTTGAAAAGAAAGTAAGAAAGAGGATTAGCGTTAAAAAGATAAAGTCAAGGAAGGGTATGTGCATATATTACAGATCGTGAGGAAGCCTGATCTGTTTGCCAGGAAAAGAGAAGGTGACGGTTGTGTTTTTACCTCTGTAGTAGTCAGCCTCAGTACCTCTTCTCACGACCTTTTTGAGGAACGTGGGCTGCAGCTTTTCTTTACTCCTGTCTTTCACAAGGACAAGAGCTGCCCGAAGTACTTTTCCGAGGCCGTGCAGATCCTCCTTCCGTGATGCACACACTTGGATCATGTGCGGTTCAGTCATCTCAGTATGATCGCTCTCTACTTGGCGATTTAATTGTTTAGAGGAGGTTTGTATAAAAGAAGTCCTTGATCAGAAAAGTTGTACCTAGTGTTGAATTCCACCAGTGGACTAGAGTTTGGGCCTTTGCTGCTAACACTTGACCTTGGACAAGTAACTTAAACCTGAGTGTATCCTTTCTCGCTATATAGTGAGAAGGTACATAGTTCACCTGAGCTGCTGCTCCAAAAAAACATGTGAGAATAGGATGACCTGATGAGTGAGCAAACGTACTATTAACAGTGCAGTTGTACAAAATTTCGTATAAAGTCATAAAGTGGTGTTATTGTTTCTATAGGAGAACCACGCATTGTTTATCATTTGGATGTCCATTACCTTTCCCAGAGATTTAATTATCCAGCCCAAACTGGACTTTTGACCTGACCTGGATCTCACAGTTATCACTATTCAGGGAACTTTTGAGAAGATACAAAGAATTATGGTTTAAAATAATTGGGGGAAGGGAAAGTAAAATATTGAGAAATGATGCTTCTCCATTACCTTTATAGTGTACTTACGGTGAAGGAGATTTAGTGATGTTTCTCAGGGGCATGAGACATTATTTTACAAATAGTTCTTTTCCATCTACAAAGAATAAACTCTTTAAGAAATATATTTAAGCTATAGTATGAATGGTTAGTTAAATATAAGAAAGAATATTTAATCTATTAAAAAGCTTTTCTGTTAAACTCATGAAGTACCAGTGGGAAGTTGTAAAGCCTTTATTTGGGGGTGTCAGGAGACTGTGGTAGGATTTTAAAGTAGCATAAGGTTAATCAGTTTGCTATAGTTTAGACAGAATAATGATAAGGAAGGAGATAAAGCAAATGCCCTTCGAACCTGTGAGTGCTTTGAAATGTATTTCATTAAGTTGACGATATGCTCTATACTCTGCCATGTTTTAATTTCCAGTGAAACATTAGCATGTTTGTGTTTTCAGTCTTATTAAATTAGTTTCTCTTTTTTTTTTTTCCTTTCAGAGAGCATTAGGTAATCAAAAGTCCACAGTAGTTGAATTCAGCAATAAAGATGCCTCTGAAATTAACAGTGAGCAAGATAAAGAAAATTCCTTAATCAAAAGTGAACCAAGAAGAATTAAAATATTTGATGGAGGGCAAGTACAAATTTTACTTCTTAAATGTACATTTAAACTTACTTTTTAAATGTACATTTGCTTTCATGGGAATGAAGATTTAGTGCCAACTTTATATAAATGTTGCAAGGTTTCTCCACTATTAACAGAATCTTCATGGCAAAATGTATGTTAGTATTATGTTAAATAATTCCATTTTGATGGAGAAAATGATGACTATTGAGGAAACATTCTAGGGCCCAAAAGGCAGCTAAGAACTAAATTTTCAGAGTGATCCCTGGGTTTCACGTTGATTTATAACGAGGAATAACTTGGAAGATTTGCTCTCGGAGAGATTAATTCATTACCTATTTGATATCTTTGTGTATTATGTTAGAAAACATTGTAAAAGCGAATTTTTTAGTTATGGTGAAGCTTAGAAATATTTCAGTACTTAACACTTGTGATTGAATTTAGCAAGGAAGAAAACTTTTTAACCAATCACTTAGAAACAGGGAAATGTTTTTAAATTAAACATAATATTGAATAAATTTGTTCAATTAGAATTAGCTATTAGAATATTAAGTATTGATGTAAAAAAGCTGGAATATTCTGTTACATGTGCATAAAATTTTTTATTGGTTGAGTATAAAATTTGTACTTTGTTTTATTTTTTTAGGTTGAATTTTAATGATTTATTTTTTCAAAGATACAGTGTCCAATCTCCCTATTGGTTTTT